ACGAAAAGAGGAAAAAAACATAAGCTTATTGGCAGTTTCGGCCCTCCAGTATGGCAGCTCAACCGAGCTACGCTGTTCCTTTCTCTCAGTTTTGTGGTTGTTCTCGGTTTCTTTACATCGAAAACAAATTAGACGACTAAGGGTGGAGAAACGGAGAGAACGAAAATAATTTTTAACCTACCGGAGCATTTTTCGATCTTTGGCATGGTGACACTGACATTTTTCAGGGATTGGATTTCTCCTCCGGCCGCCCTACGTGACTCATTTATTTTAATTTGCAAAGTGGCCCCGTTTTTTCAGGTTTGTTTCAAACATATCCTCCTCTTATTTACAATTTGGCTATAATTTTTGAAAATTATTTAAAAAATGTGCAAAATACATATTTCTTTTAAAAAATAATAAACGTAAATAAAAATTAAATTCTTTCATTTTTATTATTAAAAAAAACATTAAAATTCAACATTCCAAACTTAATTCTTAAATTCGGGGTGTTACATTTTATATATAAAATATATTTTTAAAACAGATTTTTATACTCATAGAAAAACAATATAAATATTGGTTTATGTAAAGGAATTTATAAAAATAAAAATAATTTTTATAAAAATATAAAAATAATTATTATAGTTTTTTAGTGAAATATCTACATGATAAATGAAATATAGAAAAATAAATATGTAACTAAGAATTCTTATAGCATAATTTTAGAATTTATAATCAATTAAAAACTTAAATAGATAACTATTATATATATATATATATTATATTAAAAATTAAATTATATTTATGTACTTAAAAATTAAAATAGATAATTATTATAAATATTGTTATTTTAGTTATATTTTAATCTATTATATATTATTTTGGCTAAAAATTAATTGATAATTATTATATATATTTAAATGGAATATGTGAATCTTAATAACTAATTAAGATTTAAAAAAAAATTATAATAAGATAAGATTAATATTAAATTATGGTTAATCTATATAATCGATTAAAGTTTTTCATAGTAAACTAAAATTCTGTTTATATATATTATTATATTATTTTTATTCTAAAATATTTTAAAGAGACATCAGGTGATAATTTTTTATTATTTTTTTAATAAATAAATAAGTAGACTTTTAATTTGTGCTATGAACTTGATATAATAAAAGAATTATATAAAAATAATATAAATACAATATTTCATAAATAGGAGAATTCTAATATAAACTGATGTATAATATGTGAGAAACAAATAGATAATCATTAACTTATATAGTTCCCTCAAATTTAGGTGATATTATTTTATTAAAATTTTATCTTATAAAATTTATTTAAGGTTACCATATACCAATTAACCTTTGATAAAGTGTTATCCGCTGATGTAGTAGTTAGTTTATTTTAATTACTGAAAATGTTTAAATAAATTTCATGTTTAATATAAAGTATTTTCAAGTAATTTAATATTTAACTGTAAATATTAAAAAAAAATAACAGTCAAAATCACATAATATATTTATTTATTTATTTTTAGAGGAAGGGTAATTCTGTAATTTCGTCATGCCAAGGTGTTGATCATCCTTCTTATTTGTTTTATACCCCAGCGCCAGAGGAAGAAGCTACAGAAAACAGATGAGAGATTGGATTTGGATTAGGGTTTCTCATTATCCCTATTCCTAATCCTCTCTTCAGTAATTAATCCAATTTATCCTTCACTTCATCAATGGCCTCTGTTTGCATAAACGATTCTTTGACGGATGACGAGCTCAGATGGATACTATCCAGGCTGGATACTGATAAAGACAAGGAGGTTTTCGGCTTGGTCTGCAAGAGGTGGCTGTACCTGCAGAGCACCGAGAGGAAGAAGCTCGCTGCTCGTGCTGGTCCCCACATGCTCCGTAAGATGGCTGCCAGGTTCTCTCGCCTTTTCGACCTCGACCTTTCACAGTCGGTTTCCAGGTCCTTTTATCCGGGAGTCACGGATTCTGATCTCTCTGTTATTGCTGATGGCTTTAAGTCCTTAAGGGTTCTTTCTTTGCGTAATTGCAAAGGTAAAGCCTTTTTATATAAAAAAAAATTTTCGACCTTTTCATCTTCTCGTGGAATTTGTTTTTTGAAATATTTTTTACAGTGAAAAATGATGTAAATTGGGTTGAGCATTGATGTAGAATGTCAATTAGTTTGTGTGATGGGTTTAAGCGCTCGGAAGTCCTCTGGTTTTTGACTAGTGCACATTGTTGTTAGAATTTCTTCTTCTTCTTCACTCTGTTCTTAGAAGGGGGAGCAGAGTGAAGCAATAGAAACAAACGGAACATAAGGGGATAAAAGTGTTTTTACTTTGGTTGATTGGGAGGAGAAAAGAAAATTACTACTCTCTAATAGAAACTTCCCTCCATTCCCCTCTTTTCCATTACTCAAACATCTCCCAAACAAAGTGAATTACTTTATTTGGATCATTAGAAGTTTTTGTTAAAGGAAAAACCTTTATAGTCTTTACATTAGGAAATTCTACGGTTCCTCAACCCTCATGCTTATGAATTTGCTACTTTGTAATTTAATCAATTTGTAAATCAGTGTAGTAATCATCTAAGATATAAATTGAAAAGGTGTTACAAAAAATTACTGAATTAGTACTAAATGTTAGGAAATTATTGCGAGACACGACACCCGTTATGTACTGGCTTCTCAATTTGCAGGCTCTTTTTGTTGTTTTTAGTGAAATATGATCTGGGAAATTTTTAGTGGGGGCCAATGTGAGATTTTTCCTGGTTCCTTCTTTGTAATTATTTAGTAGGACTTGGTCCTTCAAGGCCAATACTCTGGTCTTTTTGATTTTTGTTGTTTTTCTTTTTCTTTTTCTTTTCCATGCTTGCTTCAACTGAAGATAATTTGAAGAAAAGTTTTCGGGAGAAGTGTCTTATTACAGTTGTGAACCTTTATGTGTTTATTTGGCTGTTTGTATAGATGAATAGGAATGCTTTTTTATTTCCTCTCTTTCTTCTGTGAGAGAATGCATCTAAAAGTCAGTTCTCTTGTATGTCTAGGCAAAATGCAATGGTGATTTTTTTTTTCTGGGAGAAGATATGAGATATATTTTCACAGAATGTACATATATTTTGTATCATCTCATGGCCATTGCTAACTTCAAGATGGCATTTATTTGTTTGAAGATGTTCAATGTCTGCAGCTGCATGTGGATGATTTTTGAACTCTATTTGGTTCTGTTTGTTGGTTGAACATGATTCTAATGTGCTGTACCACTTGCAAACTGGGTTGGCAAGGTTGAAGTAATTGAACTTCAATCCTTTGTTGTTGTAATGGTGAGCTTGTTAATTTTGAGGGACTTAAGATCTAATAGTTTTCACCACAGCTTTATTTTTCTGTTATTTATTTGTTCTGATAATGGTCTTTTCTAGGGAGTTTACTTCCTTAATTAAACTAAAACCTGGAACTAGCCTGGTTTGTTTAACATTTACTTTCTGCTACCCCATGTTGTGTGTGGTGCAGAATGTCCTGCTCTGACTGAAGGCTGTTTTGAGGAACTTCTCTCGCTTAACTGTTATTATCTTTTAGAGTCCTACCAGAACATATACTTAAGTTTTTGGGTCTCTAGGTTGTCCTTTTTAGTGGTTTAAATAATGGTCTATATTCTATCCCAAAGATTCATTGATGGAAAGCTGTGCCCATGTGCGCATGACATCTAAGATGACTGAGGAATTTTTTTGTTTACTGTTCTGGCATCTTGTACTGCGTTACGAGATTAAATTTTTATCCTCTTTTCATGCACTTCCATTTTCTCTCTGGGTAGGATTAGTTGACTGCTGAGCACATTATTTAACCGCAAGGAGGGAGAGTCTTTGATGGACTTGGCCTGAGGAAAAACCCCAAATCCCCAACAAAAGGTTTCCTGATATGGCCTCTGCTTCTAGTCGAGCTAAAGATTCTCCCCGTTGGTGTCTAAAGACCCTATTATCTCAGTCTGTATTTCCTTGGATGGTGCTCCAACTGGAAAAGTACTCCTTTTCCAGTTGTAGCTGCTGGAATTGCCAAAAAAGTCTGCTCCTACTATTTAAGTATTTGTTCTTAATTTGAAAGATAGAACCTTTCTCCCTGCTACTCAAGAAGCTTATTCCTGGTTTGTGTATCACAAATAAGAAAATGTTGGCTAAATCAACCTGAACCATTAGTAGGGCTGGCAGGACCAGTAGATCACAAGTTGTCTCACTGTTTGCTCCTTCCTAATTCAATGTCAAAACGAATGAAAGATCCAATTTGAATTTGATTTCAGTCTTAGTTTCCATGTGGTTGATCATCCTTGGCAGACCAGCATTCCACAATTTATGGTGGGTGAAGATCTATAGTATTTTTCTTTGGTACCATGGTGGCATGAGCACTCCCCTTTTGGTAAGGAATGGCATTAGATCACGTTAGCACTATCTTATCGCACAAGATAACCAACCACTGTTTACCTTACCATTTAATAACACCTTTTTTTCCCCTAAAAATTCCTTAGATTAGTCTGAGATAGCATGGTTAGCCCTTATAGCTAAATAGTTATAGCTTAGAGTAGTGAACCCTTGAAACCTTTATAGTATAGCCATTTATTGAGGAACTGCTCGCGTGATCGCCAAAGGCTTTGTTGGTAGATCTATAGCCTGGTTCTCTAGAACTCTTGAGAATAAGATTCCTTAGTCAATCAGAGGCTTAGACTATGATGTAGTTTATCCAAGAACCAAGAGCTAGATGGGGATAACACTATACTATATCATACAGGATAGGCAGCAATTCATCTTCGGTAGCAATGGCTAAGCAAAGGCTTCTATGGCTCCAAGGTAGTAGACTTGGTGCACATGAGATGTTCAGCCTTTAGATCTTCTCTCTGGACTGAGGCTAAGGTTCTCTTCCCTCATCTCAGTCTTAGGTTTATCGCAGATGACAAGGTCATGCCTGTTATAAATGTGAAGTAATAAATAAAGGACCTGGTGTCAACCCCTCACCAACAATGGCCTATGTTACAAGAACCAATGCTACCAACACCATCAACTCCCATCACTGAAATGATGCGTGCTGCTGATTATGCAGCTATTGATTGAAATGCACCTTCTGAGTTGAATGCTGGTATGGCTGAGGCATTCGGTGCTCCAATTTTTTTGTTCTTTGCTTTTTTATACTAACCCAGCCACCAAGAAGCTTTCTAATGAGAGGACTGTGGAAAATCCAGTTCTTTTTCAAGTGACAACAATATCTTTTTGTAATTGAATACATAAATGAGAAAGCTATTTGAATATATGGATGTTTATAAATTTCTGGTTTTAAGGCTTAAACAATCCTAACTTTGCTAGTAATGTAATTCAATATGGGATTGTAGTTGTAACTTGCCCCCATCAAAATAATAATACACTGGAAATAGTCTCCCACATGTTCTTTCCCCGCCTTATTTTTTTTTCAAAAAAAAAAAAAAAAAAACTTGTATGCTGAAGTAGCTGGGTTTGCTTGGTTTATTGATATTTTCTTCCCTGCAACAGGTATTACAGATTCTGGAATGGCATCCATTGGACAGGGTCTGTCATCTTTACAATCATTGGATGTGTCTGATTGCAGAAAGCTAACAGACAAGGGGTTGTCAGCTGTTGCCAAAGGCTGTCATGATCTAAAGAGCCTGCATCTTGCTGGTTGTAGGTTTGTATCTGATGGACTGTTACAAGCTCTTTCTATAAACTGTCGCAATCTGGAGGAGCTGGGCTTGCGTGGATGCATCAACATAACAGATTCTGGACTCAGAGATCTTGTAAGTGGCTGTCGACAGATTAAATTTTTAGACATCAATAAATGTAGCAATATTGGAGATTCTGGGATTTCTAGTGTTTCCAAAGCCTGTGCATCTTCTCTTAAAACCTTGAAGTTGCTGGATTGTTACAAAGTTGGAGATGAGTCTATATCATCCTTGGCCAAATATTGCAAAAATCTTGAAACTCTTATAATTGGTGGCTGTCGAGACATTACTGATGAGTCCATAAAATTATTGGCCATGGCCTGTAATAGTAGTTTGAAGAATTTGCGAATGGATTGGTGCTTAAAGGTTTCTGATTCTTCTATAAGTTGCTTGTTCAGTCAGTGTAAGAACCTGGAGGCTCTTGATATTGGTTGCTGTGAGGAGGTGACAGATGCTGCATTTCTAAGTTTGGTGAATAGAGATACAGAGTTGAGATTGAAGGTTCTGCAGGCAAGCAACTGCCCGAAGATTACAGTTTCAGGAATAGGAATGCTATTGGAAGGCTGCAGTTCCTTGGAATTTCTCGACGTGAGATCCTGTCCACATGTGACCAAGGCAGGCTGTGATGAGGCTGGACTGCATTTTCCTAAATGGTGTAAGGTGAATTTTATGGGTAGTTTATTAGGAGAGCCATATCTTATAATGTGAAACCGTATATTTAACTGTTCATTATGCATCCTGTAAAATTTATCACTGTCAAAAGTTTCATGTTTTCATGACCTCTTGGTCCGATACATGGGGTACTTGAATGCTTGGGGGGAATCTTTTGCTAAGTGCTATCATGCTCTTGTACATGCTATGTGTTACATTGGATTGCTTTCTGCCTAAAATCTTGCCTGTACTTTATATTATATATAATTTACATTTCGACTTGTAATTTGTATCATCATTCAGCAAATATTGGTCTCCTGGCATATTGCCAGATTCTGTGCCAATTCTCAACATCTCTTGGTTTGAATTTGTTGCGATAATCTCATCTTTTTCTGCTGTTTACTAGTAATTTTCCAGATGGGTGGGAAATGTTACTGTGTATTCGGATTGTTAACTTTACAATAAAAATATTATATACCGTAAATGTGCTTTGTCTTTGACTTCAGTACTTGTATCTTGTTGGACTGTGGTAGTGGTAAATTTTCTCTGAAAATGGTAATAGTAACTCGGACAAAATATTTTGGAGCAGATTGGAACTTTTATGAATATTTATTAGGCCAAATAGAAAAAAAGCTTCTTATGAATGTTTAGAGGGCAGCCGAGTTGGTTGTTTGTGTGATTTACCCATAACTCATCCATCTATTTGATGTCTACATTCTGCATATTTGCATTTAAAGGTGTGTCCTCCAATCCGGACTGAAAAATTAAATTTATCCAAATTTGTTGTCGAAATCAGATGAGAGTGGAGCACGTTCTCTATGATCCTCAGTTCAGGAAAACTAACCTTTGTCCATTACAGTCGGTACTGGTTAACAAAAATAAAATATATATGTAGGTTTGTCGTGTAAACCTCCCTCAAATAATCAAGTTCCAATAACCCCAGGTAACTTAAACATTGTATATCATGAGAGAATTTACACAATGAGTTGGCAAAATCAACATACGAATGCATATGTATGTATTATATATACACACACATATAAATACATATGATGTTGAGGATAAATTAAGATTGGTCCGCCCCTAATTACAAATGTTCTGGCATTACTTAATCATGGTAATTGAGAAATTGCACGGTGAAGTCGCTTGAAGGCTTTTTGATAGTCTAAGAAACCCATAAACCAGAAGTCAAAATCATCCACTGTAACGATCTCAATGTACTTTTGCGATGGCTTTTCCACATTCTCACTAATATTCACTCTCTTTATCTTTCTTAATGGAATCAACACCTGCTTGCAATAATATGCATTAACGTTACTATTATATATTTTTATACAAATAAACATTCAGATTAATTAAATTTGAATAAAATAAAGAGTTACCTTGTAATATTGGAGTGTAAGAGAATCTCCTTTAAGAGAAGAGAAAGATACGGAGGTATGACTGCAAAAAGCAAGCTTATGGGTGGAGATGAAGAGAAGGCCTGCAATGGGACCGGCTGTAGTTGATAAATAACATTCACAACAACTATCCTTCGTCAATCTTTCTCCTTCGCCAACATTAAAAGCCTCCTTGAACACTTTCTCCATTCCACCCACTCCCACGCTTCTCAACTTCTCTTTCACCGCCAGTTTCACTGCAAATTTTCATTACATACACACATCATCATATATATATATATATTTGTGACATATAATAATAATACTTTTATAAATCCTATATTGAACCTTCATTTATTATAAGATATTGCAAATTCAATTCCGGGTGTGTTATCATTTGAAACATATGTATCGAATTTATGTCTTTCTATTTAAAAAAGAAACTTACCATGTTTTTGAACCGCATGTATGATTTTGTCTGCTGACTTCCCTAATTTGTTTATTCGCTTCAGCACTGAATCTAATTTTTTCTCTACATCAATATATGCGTATACAATGTTACACTTATAAAATGACCCATTGCTGCAAACTTCCAGAAAATTAAGGCTATGATCATGGAGGACCGATAGACACACACACACACACACACACACATGTATATATATATATATATATATACGTACTTACTTGTTTTGCAAGTTGCAGAACCTTGTGTAGAAAGATTTTGTTGGTTTGATGATTGAAGTAACAGTTGCTTTGGCTGCCTCTGCACTTGGTATGCCATTGACATCGTCCTAATTGGAATCATCATGCTAGCTGGGATATTTCCTCAACAGCTTATGTATAATTCCTCGTTTGGGATGGAAGATGAGTGAGGAAGAGGATGATATATATATGTGTGTGTGTGCGTGTGTGTGCGCTATGAGCTAGTGCATTTGAAGGAACAACTAACAAAATAAATAAAGTTGGTGTGAATCGGGACTTTAATTTATTCATTGTGCATCATGATGAATAAAGTCATAAAAAGCTATACATGTTGTTCACCAAAAGTTGAGTATGGCATGTCTTCTTTCTTTTCAGAGAAGCATATATATATATATATATATGGGTGCATATGTGCGAGTATATGTATATATATCTCGTGGAATGGGCATCCAAGTCTTTTTCCTCATACACCACTTCTAATAGAAGATTCAGGGTGGCAATGAGAGTTGATATATAGATGGTATTATTGAGGTTATATCATTTGATTTTGTTTGTCAGTTCATTCAATATTCAATGCATATACAGGTCACACAATAGGAAATTCAGAATCTGGTGATGACTATACATATACATATACATATATAATATACGTACTTTAGCAATTAATTTTATCAAATGGAATGATTGCCCTTTTGATCCGGGTAATATAATATACTGTTTTTAGCCAAAAAGGTGATTAATTTGTAACTTGATAACAAGACCAGATAAATATAACAGATCTCACTATTAATTCCATTAATGATAGATTATAAATTGAGTTATTTTTTATTTAATGTTTTATCTGTAATTATAAAAGGATTTTTCACGTTAGCATAGCCCACTAATAATTTTCTTAAACATATGACTTACGGGAATTAAATCCTGAATTGATAATATTAAAATATAACATTTTAACTTTGAATTAACCCTTATTTATGAAGTATATTAATTTGTCAACCCGACATTTATGACGGAAAGATTAATTAATAAAATGGGATTAATTTGGTGATGAATTAGTGTTGATTAATCGGGTGGACACAGTTAATTAAACTTTGTGAGGTGGCATTTGAGCTTTGTGATCTTAAAGCTACCATATCAAGAGAAAGAAAGAAAAAAGAAAGCTAAGTAGCTATCCCTTTCCAAAAGCAACAAAATCAACTAATCTCTCTCTCTCTACAATTGTGTGTATATATATATATATATATATATATATATATATTATGATAAATGAATTAATCTTTTATAAACAATTACCTGATTTTACTATACCTAAGACTATATTAGAAATAATTTCTAAAATTTTATAAATTCATTTGCAAATATACACTTTCTTTATTTATGAATATTAGATTTTTGAAGATATAACATTTGATCTTATATTATATACAAATATGTAACTAGAACAATACATTAAGAGATGACAAAAACCAATGAACCAATTTAATTGATTTAGACCAAACAATTCAAGAGATTGATTCAGTTGAACCAACAAATCGGTTCCTCACTAATTCCATCTCAGTTCTTAAATCCTCACGAAAAGAACCAGTTACTCTTCCTCTTCATTCAGCTTCTATCGTGCTGGCTGCCAATCTAAACTTACTATCTCCCTTTCACCTCCACTCCAAACTCTTCATAGAGCAGTGGCTATGCGCTTCCTTCTATTTGGCTCTTCCTTCCCTTATTCACCCTCAGGTCAAAACTGCTCGACCACCACATAGGGTGCCATTGTATCATCATAGCAAACATCGAGACCTAAGTATTCCTCATTGTTTTAACTTTGAATTTTATTCTTTTTCCTAATGTTTCTAAAAGAAGTAAAAAATTATTAGATATTGTGTTGCATAGTCTTAATTGTAGGAAAACTAGAAATTCAAGGAAATGACCATGCTAATTGAATTGAGATTATATTATTAATAATATGTTTAAATTATATTAAAATGTAAGTGTTTAAAAGATTAAAATTGAAAATTGAAGGAAAACCTAAACCCTAATTGGCAATTGAGTTTTAATGTGTTTAAAATTATGTGTTTACAAGTATATAAAGGATATGTGCATGCATAATATGGCTCTAATTTTTGTTTATATAATTATGCTACATACACATTCTATGAGTATATTTATGACTCACAAATTTTTGCTTTACATAAAAAAATTGATTGTTTATGTTGCAATTTAATAATGTATATTGCTAACTATAGTTGTTAATTGTTTGTTGTAATTTAATCACGTAAATTGCTAACTATAGTTGGTAACAACATTATTGTCTTGCAATGTCAGGTATTGACTAGTTGATTAGTTGATTTTTTAAATATTAGATTATCCAATTATATGTAATTTATCTTTGAAGATTGAGCAAACAACTGAGGTAATGGAAGGACAACCGGGTGGACTCTTGATGACAAACAAAGTTCAAGTCATAAAAGGTGGCAACCACCAACATCCAAGGTCTATTATTTGAGAAGAGGAGAGGAGCTTAAGAAGGGATCACGAAGGACTGTCGAAGATGCATTCTCACTTAATATGTCAAGAAGCAACGGGAAGGCAACAAGAATGCCTTGTAGATAAATTCCAATTTGATGACAGAAACTTGAAGATAAAATAAATAAATAACATACATAAGAAAGAAAAAAATGAAGCATGAAAAAAAGAAGAAAAAAAGTAAAGTCTGGCAAGAGTTGTAGGCTGAGATGGCTTCTTTGAGGCCTAATCTCAAGAAGGGTGCCTTTTCAAGAATAGAATAAAGGATCATCATCGATCTTCAGACCAAGCTCGACAACAATTGGGTTCGCATGGCTTCTATTAAGTTTTTTTTTTTCATTTTTTTTCATGCTTTAATTTTTTTTCTATTTTTATGCTTATCTCATCATACGAGAATTCCTC